CCTTACACACATCTGGAAACGAAGTTTTAATTACATAAAAAAAACAAAGAAGTAGATCACAACTATATTCATCTTATGCATTGGGTCATATCAGATTCTTTAATTATGAAAGTAATCGCCTACATTGTAAAAACAGAGCGGATTTCCCAAGAGAACAGACGATCTTTTCTCTATAACTGCGATAAATTGAATTCTTGACTGTATTGCTCTAAAACCGTATGATCTTCATCTAATTTTTGCTTGATTATATTTTTCTTTTCCGTTTTAATCATCTTTTCATATAGATTACTTTTTAATAGCATTTATATGAAACGCATGAAAGAACATCTTAATTATGCTAATTAATTATCAGTAATATTTATATTCTCTTTGGTCTTATCAGTTGCTAATATGATTTTAAATAAATAGTAAGAATGATTTTTCGCCACCGTTGCCATAGTGGATTTCTTCAGGTATTACATAGACTAATAATAGAACAGACTCATCTGCTGCTGAACTATACTGTGGAACTAAAAAGAAAGAAACAGCATATGAAAGTTTGACCATTATTTTCTTAAGAAAAGTGATTTGAGAATCTAGATATTAGGAATAGTCGATTACGTTGTACGTCGAAAATATCTGACTAAGGTAATAGTGATTTTTGCTCATAAAGGATCTCAGTGTTCAGATTTCATGCTTTTCAACACTACAGCAAACTCACTTGCTCTAAAACTCATTTTATATAAGCAAGTTTTCCTCTAAATTAGCTACACTGCGAATCCGATGAATTTCACAATCCTACAGAAAATCGCTTTTAATATCTCTGAATATTTTGAAGCTTTTATAAAATATAGAACATTATAAACGAGCATGGGAAATGCGTGTTTTATACTACGTAGTTATTAATAAATTCCCGATTCGAAGATCCTCATAAAATTGTCAAGAGTTTGAATTTCATTTCAATAGCTAATAAATATTAATTTCGTATAAAATACGACATCCGCTGTTTGATCTTCTTCTTCTTCGTCGTATAGTGATACACTAATCTCACCAACATCAGTAAAACCTGCAACAATATCAAAAGAACAAAACGTTTCATCAAAAGAACTGACGTGAATGAGACAAAGAAATAAGAAAAAGAAAATCAGAAAAGAAGGAAAAAGCAAACGATAGAATAAAGACTGTTGGTGAAACTAGTGTATCATTAGAGGACGAAGAAGAAGAAGTCCGAAATCAAACAGCGGATGTCGTATTTTATACGAAATTAATATTTATTAGCTATTGAAATGAAATTCAAACTCTTGACAATTTTATGAGGATCTTCGAATCGGGAATTTATTAATAACTACGTAGTATAAAACACGCATTTCCCATGCTCGTTTATAATGTTATACATTTTATAAAAGCTTCAAAATATTCAGAGATATTAAAAGCAATTTTCTGTAGGATTGTGAAATTCATCGGATTCGCAGTGTAGCTAATTTAGAGGAAACCTTGCTTATATACAAATGAAACGCAATATTATTCAGATAATGTCTGAATAGAAACCATTGTTATTACAAACGCTTCAATGGAAAATAAGAAAAGAAATTTCAAGCGAGGAAAATTGTTAGATAGTTATATAATAAATGATTTACTTGGTTATCATTCGGATCAACCATAAGGTCAAAGAGCTATTGCTGAAATACCATCATCATCATTGTCAACAAATGACAGTAATATTCAAGAAGAATGGGCAAGATTAATCAATACCAGAGCTTCTCTAAGAAAAGGTAAACAGTTTATAAGTGAAAATACTAAATACATTACTCTAATTTTTATTCTTAGTTATTTCAAGTATTTAGCTTCCAGTGAAAAATGAATAACTCTAATGCAACAAATCACTAATGCTCCAGTTAATGATATACCAATAAAACAACGTTTGTGAGCTGCACTACAGAAATGAACCTTAAGGTATTTTAAAGGATTTTTTTTGTTTTATTGATTAAGAACATAAAGATTTTTTCATGGATAGTCAGAAAAAATTCATGCGTGTGACACAAAATGAATAATTAATGGCTGATGATTGATTTTCTAACGAAAATCAGACAAAACAATTATTTCTTCATGAAAGCTAAATAAAAAGTAGCATTTGTTATACATCATTCGAAAGGATATTCCACACACTCTTAAATCATTCATTCTTCAAACTTGTACATAAATAAGAACAAACCGATTCGAAGAACACGGAGACAAAAGTTCCAAGAACATTCTTGGTAATGTTGAGTTTTTGGGTCTTTTAATGAAGTTTTCTAATAGAAAGTATTGTATGTTCAACCATCTGTAGTTTAGTACTAAAAATAAATATTATCCAGATCACATATCGATGAAGAAACCCCCTTAAGGTCCCCCTCCTCAGAAATTATCTCCGACACCGTACACCCGATCTTGACAAAACTTTCAATAAATGTTCGGCTCAACGAGTTACGGGAATGAAAAAAGTTTTTTGAAATACTTGAAGTTTTTGAAAGTAGACACTTCAGGCTACCTTTCCATGTGCTTGTCTCAAAACCAATTTTTTGACAGAAAAGCACAATGTCTAAGGGGGAGGCTTAAACTAAATAAATTGCGATAAAATTGTTTCATGAAATCACCGCGTAAAGTTATGAGCGAGAGAAACTTTCTCATGAAAGAATGTTTTCAGACGATCACAATCAAAAACTGAGTCTACGAGTGAGTTAATGGATTTTCATTTTTTTTTTGTTGAAAATCTCGGTTTCAGCGTGAAAACTCGAAAAAAATTTAAGTACTCTGCTAGGATAGAGATACACATCAGTCGACTCAGTTTTTGATCCTGATTCCAAATATCATATTTTTATTCAATAGAAGTTGAGTTGTGATGGAGAATATTAAGAATTGCGAGAATTCCGTCTTTTTCGCCTCTATTTTAGAAAAAGTGTTTTTTCAGCTATGAAAGAAATTTTTAAAAAAAGCGAAGCATACTTTTAAAGCTGGATCTACAGCGAATCTAATACCGTCCAAATGACGACTTCAGCCCTTAACACAAAAAACTAGATAGGTTTATGAAATTGCTTCGCGGTATTTTAGCGGGTTCGTTTGAGACGGCTATACGAGGCAGGCCTTTAACTTTCGAATTGCTCAAACACCCATTTCTCTATTCAATTTTTAATGCTGAATAAGAAAAAAATATTTTGGAACATTCAGACTAACAAAGACAACGAAAATTTGAATATTTTTTTAACTTGAACGATTTTTCGGGTTTATACGTCGTGTAAGTTTTTTATGACGAAAAAGATGTTTTCAGAAATTAAAAAATACATTTTCTTAACCAGCTCGATCGTTGGAAAAAACTTTCCTGTAAGTTTGCATCAGACGCACTAAAGAGAGCTGTCCGAACATGAAATTTATTCCACAAGTCAGACTATCTTATACGCCGCACATCTCTAACTTATTTACGTCTCGTGCTGCTAGTGTCTCTACTGCGACTCATCCTCACCATACCAAAACGCCAGTTTCCTACGGTGCTTGTAATACTGTTTCATATTCTAATCTTCTGCTCCTGACCTTCTGATCTCCTCACCCGTTCGTCTCCGTATGCTTTAATCATCTCATATTTTAATCTTCTGGCTTTCTGATCTGAAGTCAGAAGATCAAAAAGTCAGAAAATTGTATGACTCAGTACATATCGCTTGGCTCTTAGAATATAGTTCTAAGCGTAAAATAGGTACTATAGGAATAAGTTCTGTACTTGAGCATCTATGGAGAGTTCGTGTGTGTTCATGGGTCCAATAATTGTTGGACTGTTCATGTCAGATCTAATCAGAAATTTTTTTGAAATAGAAGCTAAGTCTTACGGGAACAACTAAAAGAGGGTGATTTTGCATCTAAGTTGTGGTTCTTTTGCACTGTTGACAAAGTGATATGTCATTTTCTTCACTTTTTTAACTTTTGAGGCAAAAGTCTTCACAAAATAAAACAAGGAAATAATTAAAAAATCCAGCCCTTTCACTATCCTAGCTGAATTTGATATTTTAACACGAACCTGTGCTCTCTAGCTGCTTCCTGAAAGGCGCAACTGGACCGTAGATGTCTCATTTTGACCCTTATTCGAGCGACATCTATTAAACAAAAATACGTAGAGCCTTCAAATTTTTATCGTAATCATTTCTCGACATCGTCAATATTCCTTATAATTTTTTTCAAGGCGATTTACCGAGACAGTGGGCCAAGGAGTTTTTGAATAAGTACAGTACAAAAATATGTGTTCTAATTACTCTCATAAAGGAAAGAAAACTGACGGTGCTATCGTGCAAGTCCACTCCAAAGAAACGATCGGTGATATGTGGATTTATCCACGTAAAAGTCATAGCTCTTCAGCCGAGCAATGTATAGAGTTTGGGAACGCCTTACTTTGTAGTCTATGTATGTATTCGGCATGCTTGAATCAGATACCGTACCTCTGGAATTCCGGAAAATTGGATGCTGTTCGTTCGTGGACGTGAGCGCATAGAACTGGGGATGTTCGGTTCTGAAACCGTAATGGCGGCTTCGGTTCTTGACGTAGAACCGAAATTTAAAGAACCGCGATTCCGGTTCCCAACTCAGAACAGAACCGCGGTTCTCGGTTCTCAGCTTAGAACCGGAGAAGAATTTTTCAGACAGTAACAATTCAACAAAATAAGATTCATTTTATAGTAAGCGAAAGGATTCTTTTAAATAATGTCTGGCAAATATATCTCTTTGCCATAGACAGATAAACACATGAATTAAGTTTCATCCAAATTTAAATGAAACTTTTTACTTTTTGAAGATTTTCTCCCTAAATTTGCCAAATTTCATGCATAATTTCGGAAAGGTCGACTTTTTAAAATACTTTTTAACGTGTAACTAAAGGCTTGCGCTTTTGTATGTCTCAACGTAAGGTGTTCATTTATTTCGGTCAATTTTTAACATCAGATAGTCTGTATATATATATATATATGTGTGTGTCTTGAACTGCTTATAACAGCACTAGGGTTCTTTTATAATTGGATATTATTTGGATTCACCACTGCTTTAACGATTGTACGCTCTTTAATTGCTTGTAATCCATCATTAATATTCTGTAAGTTATACGAGCCGCCAATCATTGATTTCCATGGTATCTGTAAATGTTTCTTACTCATTACAGCAATTGCACGATAAAAATGAGAAAAATCACTACCCCAACATCCCAGTACACTAACATGTTTTTTGTTGATGTGAACATGTGGATTAATAAGTACATCACCTAAATCAGTATATTGACCAACAACTAGAAATATATACTGCAATACACATTGTATAATGCTTGTTGAACATCGAGTGACATACCAACTAATCTACCTCCATCACGTACAAGTTCAAAACCTGAACGTACTGCTACAGGTGCACCACTTGCTTCGATTACAACATCTGCCCCATTACCGCCCGTTATTGTTTTCACTTGTTCAATGCGTTGTACTTCAGGTGTGGATAATAATATTGTATGTGAAGCTCCCATACGTCGCGCAAAGTCAAGACGAGTTTGCTCACCATCTACAACTATAACGGCTGCTGCACCACTGATAGAAGCAAACGCCACGCAGGATTGTCCAACAGGGCTGTGAGATAGCGTCCAAATACATAAGATGTACGTAAACCAAACTTCGAGTAAAATTTTTTTAAGTTTATTATACATATTCGGATTCAGCTCAACAAGCTGATCACGAATGCCACCTTCCCAGTCAAAAAACATTTTCTTCATGTCAAAAAACTCAAAATACTGGGAAGGTCTAAAAAACACGAAAAGTTTTCGTTTTAAGAAAAGGCTTGTGGTTTCTAAAGTATCCTGGAGACTTGAGCTTACTATATTTGGATTCCTTATTCAAAACTGCATCTAACCAAGGTACTCCCAAGTCTCCAAATCACAAAGTGGAACTTTGGCAAGGCTTATGAATGAAAGCGTTTTTTCAGACTGGGAAGGTGATTTTGCGTGATCAGGGAGCTCTAACAAATCCGAGTATGTATAATAAACTCAAAAACAAATTTCACTCGAAGTTTGCTTTACGTGTATCTTACACAACTTTGATTCACAAGCAAGCACATACCCTGCACCCAGAACAACTACTGTATCCCCTAAATTAATGTCAGCCCTATCAACTGCGTGTAATGCCGTATTGAGACCACAGCCGCCTGATATATATGTTAATGGATCCAGTCCATCCGGTAATCGAATCAACTTGGTGCCTATACATACTTATACTAATGTCAATATATGCAAAAAATGCAACATACCTGGTGTCAAGTAAATATACTCAGACCAGCCACCAATAGGTTTTCTACCGTGTGGGCCTTCATTTGGATATGTTATACCTAATCTTCATAGATAAATGTTGAATCAACATCAGTTGTTTCGACAAAAAAATAATGACATACCATATACTTTTCTCTTACTACATCGTGTGCTTTGTTTACTAACTAGACAATAATGGCATGCACCACAGGTCTCATTCACATCTAAAAACGTAACGATGTCACCTTCACGAAATGGTTGACCATTGATATCAACTGCAGCATTTCGACTCATTGCAGCAATATAACCAACAGCGACGTGACCCTTCACAGACAATAAAAAAGTTATCTTAGAGTTATGAGTTGATGTAGAATGTACGTACCGGTGTAATAGGATAGGGTACTCCAGCTAATTTTCCTGCATGTAGATGTACATCCGTACCACATATTTCACTAAGTATAGTTTTCAGGATGATTGCACCATCAGGCAAATTAGTAGGCATATCGAACTGTTCAACAGTAATAGGCTGATTGATTCTCATAACTGCAGCATTGATATGTTTCGGTAATATATTTGATACACTAGTACTTGCATTAAATCTCTGATTTATCCGGAGGTTCATATAATTTTTATGACATGCGCTTAATAATATCCGTATAAAAACGAATCGTTGACTGGATAATAAATTTAAAGCCATCTCTAACTAAAACGACTCAAAATAACAGAGTTAGTAGTATAAACAAGTAAATAGTTGTACACATCATGTGTTCGCGTATGCGTGCGTTTTCTTATAAATGATAATTGAGTATTGATATTTTAGTTATTTATAACTTACTATCCATAATTCAGACACAACTGTCCTCGTTATTAGACTAACAGATCTACAATTTTGATTCGTTCTGCAAGTTACTAATTGTACAAAACTTAAGATTTTCAGCAATATCACTATCTGTATCTGATGTGCAATCTAATGATATCTAGTTCTATTCCATGTGATTTTCGCTACATACCACGGATAAATGCGGAAAATGCAGCAACACATATTTTAGAAAATAAAACAACTCAACTAGTAAATAGTTGCTTAGATTAAGGGTAAACTAGTTAAGGAAAAACATTTCCAAAGAATGAACTACAGCCCAGTAACAGAACAAATACTATTAGACATATACTAAAGCCAAAAGAGAGATTGTATCAGATAAGAACAGAAATATACCATCGCTTTTTCGTCGATGAGACAAAGTAAGACAGAACAGATAGATAAACAAAGCAACACATGTATCTGTAAATGATAAAAAGAAAAAGAAACACGCTAGATCATATCCCTAACCTCTTTGTTTTTTGTTACGCAACAGAGTTTGTCGACTTTCATACAATGTGAAAATTTTCTAACAAAAATGTACCTTTGCAGAGACACGAAAGTCTGAAAATCGGGTTTCTCACTCGCTTTACTAGCAATCAGTGTGATCGTGAAGAGCGATTCGTCCGTTTTATTCAATTTCTACTGAATACCGTCGTGACAATCATCTCTGACAGTGTAATTCTCGTCGATGTACAACAAGTCCATCATTCTAACAACTGGGAAGGGCTTAACAAAATTGAACTGATTGATTTTATAAATCCCATAAATCCATCATAAAAGACTTTTGGCATCAGAACATAACTTTACAACAAAAATAAGGTGATATTCAGAATTAGCGTCGAAAACTGCATCAGATGGTGTGCTTTTGAGAATTTTTAGAGAAATAAAAAATTTCGTTGAAAAGACCCGGTGAAAAGTCGATTTTCATTTTTTCATCTAGTGTCCACTTAGATGCATACTGTGAGAGAGCGAACAGACAAGACAGCACAAGAACTAATTGTAGAGAAAACCAAATTACTCACACTGTTTACTCACTCACTTCAATGATAGACTCGTCAGAAGCCTTCAGTTTAATTAATATCGATTGAACCAACAGAAACAATGACATTTTTCGATGTACATCGTTTCGATTCAAAATCTTGTCTATACTGTTTGTATCGAGCAGTTTCGAGAGAGTTGAAATATCTGCTCCTCTTTCTGTGCAAATTTTGACGTCACATTTAGTTTTATTATAAATTTTGAACTACACTATCTCAAAAGATCGATTTTGAACAATAATAGTGTTGAGAACAGATGAAGATGGTTGTACTTCATCGTACAGACATGTGCTGTTCGAGTTAGAACTATCTTATCCAGGGAAATTATATAGTTCTCGTCAGAGGTGCAACCGGTATCGGTACGAATTATAACACTGACCGGTATACCGGGCATTAGTATAAAGTATAATCAGTCGGGCGATCTTGCTGGTATTTTGCGGTATGATACGATTTTTTCGAAAAACATCGTGTAAATTCAGATCATCTGTGACATATTTCTTCTACTAAAATTTCAATCTAATTACTTAAGCTTTGTCGGCTTATATAAACTTCTTAATTCAAAAGATTGAATTGGATTGCTGTTTTCGCAAAAAAAAAGCGTGTGAAAAATCAGCTATACATAATCAAAGTGAAAACATTAATCTATCCCTTTGATAACATAAAATAAAGTTCACAGTAAAGAAAAACAAGGAAAAAGTATTTGTATTTAGGCAAAATATGATCAAGACAAGCCGGTACCGACCGGTACCGGTACGAAGTTTATATACTGGCGATCGGTACTGGTATGATATTTCTGATACCGATTGCACCCCTGGTTCTCGTAAGGCGCTTCAAATTAAAAGAGGAAGCACTATTTTATTTTTGCTTTAAATAAACACCATTCGACGCAGAATTTTGCGTTGATCACGAATATCTTATTTAAAAAGAGTTCAGTGCACTTGTTCTAGAAAAAACATTCCAAAAATTGATAGCTGTCGTTTTTCCGCAATTTCGCTACTTTTCGAAAAGCGTTCGATATCTCAGCTCCACGAACCTTCGCAAGTAGAGAATAGTGGGGATACCCTGACCCCGGCCACCGCCCCGGTTCCAGCGGGATCGGGGTCGAAGTCGGGACTGGAAAAGAAAAAGTTTCAGGGTCGAGATTGGGGTCGGGAAAATAGGAAAAGTAATAGATAATAGGCGAGTGACAAAAAAGAAATAGGTCTAAGCAGTCACATCACAATTTTAAGTCTGCACACATTATATGTAACAGAATTTTAACTATTTGTTTTATACACATTTTATCAAGCTCACTCAAGAAGACCTTAGCTTGAAAAGGTCGAAACGTTATAGACTTTCGAACTGTGTCTATAGCAAATGTCCACCTGAAAAAATACCCACTGTGTCTCCAACCCAGCAGTATCTCATCAATAGTGACTAGTTTGATACCACCACACTCTAAAAAAAAAGGTATTTCAAAAAACCCTAAAAAGTATTCTCCATTTGAGAAAAACCAAAAAAAAGGTATAACCACATGTGAAAAACGTTTAAAGGGTATAACCATTTGAAACATATCATAACTGTTTAAAAGTTTCTTATTCTTATCAAAAAACTAATTTTCGTTTTCTAAAATACCGCT